CTCCCGGCGCTTATTTATACTATAGTCGCACCGGTAGTGACGTCATGGCTGTCGTCGGCCAACGAGTTGGTGTTTTTTCAATTTTTGCTTCAGACACGGGTCACGACGAGGCGTTCCCCCATAGCGACCCCTAGAGGACGCAGTTCGAAGTTCCCCTGAAAGGGAACGTCTCAGGTTACTTATGTAACCATGGTTCCCTGAGTAGGGAACGAGACACTGCGTCCTCTAGGTTTCTTGCCATGCTGCGGACGCAAGCTTCAGACGAAGAAGTGAATGATGTGTGCTCCCGGCACCTATTTATGCTATAGTCGCACCGGTAGTGACGTCATGGCTGTCGCCGGCCAACGAGTTGGTGTTTTTTCAATGTATGCTTCAGACACGGGTCACGACGAGGCGTACCCCATAGCGACCCCTAGAGGACGCAGTTTCTTATTCCCTACTCAGGGAACCATGGTTACATAAGTAACCTGAGACGTTTTTGACTAGTGCCCCCTCAAAAATAGTGCATGACACCCTTGGTTCAAACACATAACGTTATTACCTTAATCTTGAACACAGAGCAGAGGAGAGAGAGTTATGAAAGTTCACGGAGTAGATGAAGCAAAACTAACGCTTTCCATTATGGAGTCAATATAATGCCACATATATATGCAAAATAATAAAGTTTTGCAAAAGAAAATAAAGTTTTGCAAAATAAAGTTTTGCAAACGAAAATAAAGTTTTGCAAACGAAAATAAAAGTATTGAGAAAAAATAAATGTGTTTTTTACAAACAAAAATAAAGAATTGCAAAATATAAATGAAACAGCACAAAAGCAATGATTTTGCAATACATATTTTCCATGGCCATATCTACTAATTTATTTGCAACGCTGCTTTTATTTTGCGTTTCAGTCAAGTTTGAGCTTGCAATACCGTTTTCCCTTTGCGCTTCACGTTTCTGCGCGTCTCGCTTTCTGGCACTGTTTTGACATGGGGGTGGAGTCAAGGGACGGGGGCGTGTACAACAGGCCTGGGCATGCCTCCCTGGAAGTGACGTAATTGGCCCGAGCCGCAGCTCACTGATCCAGGCACCATCGTTGAGCAGAGGCATGCGGGTGGATCGTTTCCTTTTATTCTCTAGCATTAAAACATGCATGTTTTCGTTTTATTAACAAATGCATATGTGTATTAGCAGTGTTTGCTCAAGTTAAAGAAGTTGTTAATTTTGCAATTCTTTATTTTTGTTTGCAAAACTTCTTTTTTTTCTCGCAATACTTCATTTTCTTTTGCAATTCTTTATTTTTGTTTGCAAAAACATTTATTTTTTCTCAATACTTTTTTTTGTCGTTTGCAAAACTTTATTTTCGTTTGCAAAACTTTATTTTCTTTTGCAAAACTTTATTATTTTGCATATATATGTGGCATTATTTTGACTCCATACTTATTACTCATGTAACGTTACACACCCAGACAGGACCAGTCAGACCCGCAGAGCGCTAACTTTTCTTCTTCCCCTCAGTAGTCAGGTGAGGTGACTCAGACATTTTTTTTTTCATTTATCAAACGCCACCCACAGCAGGAAACGGTAAAAAAAAAAAAAAAAAAGCTTATTAGTAAATTCTCCAGACCGGTTTTCATCTGCCACTGATACAAAAACAGTATTACAGCAAGTACTAAAACTTGACCGTCAGGTTTGACTAGACAGGTAACGTATCTTTCACCTGTAGTAAGATTTACATACATCACATTTTCGCTCAGTAGCAAATCCATCAAATCGTATTTCTTAACATACAGCCCGCTAACACGTTTAAATGTGCAGTTATAAAGGTGCGGAAAGCCGTAACTAAATATACAGTGGGTACGGAAAGTATTCAGACCCCCTTAAATTTTTCACTCTTTGTTATATTGCAGCCATTTGCTAAAATCATTTAAGTTAATTTTTTTTCCTCACTAATGTACACACAGCACCCCATATTGACAGAAAAACACAGAATTGTTGACATCTTTGCAGATTTATTAAAAAAGAAAAACTGAAAAATGCTCAGTATTTAGTAGAAGCACCCATTTGATCTAATACAGCCATGAGTCTTTTTGGGAAATATATATATATATATATATATTGTATGGCAAGCCAACAGGGTCAGAATTATGCCAAAGATGAATCGCGTTTACATCCAAAATGCTGTATTTGGCGTCTTTAAAATGGTATGTGACGTCAAACATGTTAGTACAACATTTTGTCTGATAAACTTTATTTTTAGTAGTGCTGTCAAACGATTAATCGCATCCAAAATAAGTTTTTTTTTTACATGTGTGTGTACTGTGTACACATGCATATATACATTTAAGAAAAATGTTTTATATGTAAATATTTTTTTAAATTATATACATGTATGTGTATTTATATAGTATATACCTCATAAATATACACAGTACACACATTTATTGGCTGCATCCGAAAGCTGTAAAAAGCTGCCTTCGGAGGATGCATTCCAAGGTAGGAAGGCATCAAGGCACGTCTGAATCCAAAGTTAGCTTCACTTCCTGTCTCATGAGATACCTTCATCTGATCGATTTTTGAAGGCAGCATAGATGTATCCTTCGCTGCCTTTGATATCCCACAATCCCCTGCGTTCCATTTCATGATGGTTGAGCTAAAAACTAAAGATGCGTAAAAATCTGAAAGTTGCGTTTGCCTGTCAGTTTGTGTGGAAATGTATATTTCTGACTAACTTTTTGCACTTTTGCAAAGTTGTAGCGAGAAATCAGTATTATAGTAATTAAATATCTTAGTTATCACCAAAACTGTTCTATTTTGTTGTAGATCATTAACCGTTACGCTGCCTCAGAAGCCTGTTCGAAATCAGTTTCATGAGGTGCCTTTGTGCAAAAACGTTGCCTGCAAAGTCATTGCCTGATAGGGCAGCAAGTCAGCTGCCTAGGCTTTCGGACGCAGCCAATATGCAAACAAAATGTTTTATTTTGGATGCGATTAATCGTGATTAATCGTTTGACAGCACTCATTTTTAGGGTAGGCGATTTCGGAGAGGCTAGCAATAGCAAGCTAGTGTCTTTAATTAATTTGCTTGGAGCACACACATTCTTCTTTGAAGCTCTTACCAAGAGGAATAGACAGAAACCAGCTGTCAGTTGGTGTACAGTACGCATTTGAGGAAGGTTTCGTGATACACTTGAATGGAATTGCTGGCAGGAGTCCATCATAAGCTTACTCAGAGATGGATGAGTTCACTGTAGGAACAAATGTGTTCAAAAAACTGGAATGGTGATCACAGACATATGAAACCATTTCTATTAAATGTGGTTTAATGTTGACATATGCAACCACGAAATGGCTAAATTGTGAGAAATCGTTGCAAAATTACAAAGAACAGAAACAGACTACAAATATCCTTTAAAAATGTCAACTAATAAAACATACAGCCGGCTTTGGCATGACCACACGCCAAAAATATACTTTTTTTGTTTTGTTTGTTTTCATGAATATACATTTTTACATTCCATTTGAGAATTGCTCTCAACTGTGAGCTGCCCTCCAAAATGATCTTACAATTCATATATATGTGTACAACCATTGTCATAACATACAGCAGATCCAAATGGCTAATATTCTACAAACACAGTATAAAACTATAACTTACATTTCTTTTGATGATTAGAGTACAAGGATACTTTTATAAAGATGAAATTCTCAAAAGATCAATTAAATCGCAGCTTTCTCTCATTTTGCCTTGATGAAATTCAAGTTAATTTATCTGTGCTCTTGGCCAAGGTCTTTTTTAATCCAATAAAATGGGTAGAACAACATTTGGCAGGAATGCTTTGGTAGGTTTTCTGTACCTGATAGTTATTGTTTGGAAGCCCTGTAAAGAATTTAAGGCATTAAAGGGAATACAAGAAAATAATTCAAGAGAACTCTCCTTGAGCTTGCTCGTCTTGTCAGATGCTCCAATTATGGAGTGAAGAATTTGTATTTTTATGTCTTGGTCGGGTTCAGTTCTTCAGTTGTGTGTCGAAAATCCCCAAATCTGAAGATAGTAGGCACGTTTTAGCTTTTAAAAGCAGAGAAAATGTGTGGAAAATGGAGAGGGAAGCTGCAGTTGATCCTTTTGAATCCTCACAAGTTTTTAATGGTCACCAATCAGTCCCAGTGCTCTGACAATAAAAAGATGCCACATTGGGCTACCAAGACTCAACCACTTCATTCTTGTTTCTTAAAACAGGTTACTGCCAATCCCTTAAATGGCACAATAAGAGCATAGACGGAAAGCAGTTTCTTTTCCAATGTGTCCTACAGAGAGGGAGTTGTTCGGTTGGTTCAGTGTTGGAGCATGTTTGAACAGGGTTCATGAGGATCTGGGTTAACACCAGTCAGCTATGTAGTCAAAGTCTGCAAACATCTCCTGCTCGCTGACTGTCAGAACCCTCGGCTCACGAGGTGGAGTCAATATCGGTGCCTCTGAGGTGAATTCATCGTCAAAGTTACTAACATCTTCACGGCCTTTGATAGTCGGCAAAAATGGAGGCCGGGTCTTCTTTGCCAGCAGTGCAGCCCAATCCATATTCTGAGGAAGAATAAACAAATGTGTGGTAAGGAGATTTTCAGTAACATTTGAAAATAAAAAAAAGAGGTTAAACAGATGGCCTACTCTGAAAAACGGATGCCTCTTTACTTCCTCTGCATCTCCTTCCCCAGCGCCAAGGCGCCGCTCTGGATTTCTCCTTAACAACTGGATAAGGAAGAGAATGTTTAAAGCTTATAAACATATAAAGCTTATAAACATAGCTGGTAAATTAAATGGAGAATATAAGTGCCAAAAACGAAGAGTCTTTTCTAATAAAGCTGTGTTGTGATTTTAAGGGTTGCCTTAAACAATAAAATGAGCTGTAGTCTAGGAAAATTGGTTTAACCGTAGCAGGGCACATCCAAACATACCCTTCTCATTATGGAAATGGCTTCTGTGGAGAGGAACCTTGGATAGCGAACTTCATCGTTAACAATACTGTCAAACACCTCCTCTTCATCATCACCAGGGAATGGGGACTGTAGTTAAAATAATATTAAGAATATTTAAGATAATGAAGTACTGGAAAAAATGTCTATTCAAATTCTAATTATTGTAGTTAATAATTACTTAATATGCAATTAGTGTAACTAAATTATGCAATTGCTAATTATGCATTTAAAAATACACACAATTCTTTGTGCCCCCTGACCTGTATGTATATTCACAATTTAAGACTGAAGTATCACGTTCATGTTTTTTTTTAGTTTGCAACCACCACAAGCAACACGCCTAACCACACTGAGAATGGTTCACATGCGATGCAATCTTGCTTTAAAAAAAACAAAAAAAAACAGTTGGATGGAGTGCAACAAAATGGAACAGAATGCAGGAAACCTAAAAAGACGTTTTGCAAAGTTTGAACTGATTGACACACTGTGTTAAAAACATGGTGCCCATAGAGCGAGACGCTGAAAAACAGTGAGACGTCAAATAGCACAGATGGAATGTCTGAACAAGTTCTGTGCGAACGGTCCATTGGTCTACATCAGGCAGGTTGACAAACTCTGTTGCATGGATTGCTGTGGACTGTAAACCAGTGACAGACTTTGGTTCAATTATACAGAAATACTAACAGTTCTCAAGTCACTAAAATTCTAAAGTCACATTTTATGACTTTTTAAAGATTTAAGCCCCGTTCACACCAAGAACGATAACTATTAAGATAACTATAAAGATAACGATATTAGCGTCCACACCAGCGAACGATATCATCCGTTTATTCTAAGCGCACATGCGTCTGCCGCTTTAAATTCTTGTGCTCGTTATAGCAGGATGGATTCTGATTGGCTGTCAATTTTTTTATCGTTCATCAGCTGGGAAAAAATCGTTTTGAAAGTGATTCCAACGATATCGGTCCTCTGTATCGTTATCGTTATAGTTGTGGTGTGAACTATGCTATTCTTTAATATTGAGAACGATTTTTAGAGAAGAGGTTCACCAGGAACGGATGCCGAACACTGTTCACTGTCTCAAAGATCCTCTTCTCACACATGAGGCTGTGGATAGATATTAATATGAAGCGTAAATGGATAGTTGACAAAACATGTCCATTAACATTAACAAACATTTCTTTCTTTCTTTCTGGTTAAGATTTAGATGAGACATACAGTGGTGTGAAAAAGTGTTGGCCCCCTTCCTGATTTCTTATTTTTTTTTGCATGTTTGTCACACTTTAATGTTTCAGATCATCAAAAAAAATTTAAATATTAGTAAAAGATAACACAAGTGAACACAACATGCAGTCACTGTACTTACTTTAGGTGCTATATTTAAGATTTTCTACATCATATTGTCATTCAGTGAGACAAATGCTTTTTTTTTTATATATTTTTTTTAAGTAGTATCATTCCATTTAGTCTGTCAATTAACATGGCCACATTAACTGCATGCATAGTAATTATAACAGAACATACGTTTCAAATTGAATGTTGCCAAATGGAATGTTGGAATGTCAATTGGCCAAATGCATATAATGTTAACAGTGACTACTGATAATGTATGCACATTTCTATATAGGTTATATATACACAGTAATCAACATTTGAAGTGGATCTAAACCTTTCATCAAAGTTGTCATAAAACCAAAACAATCCCCGTTCTTGTCTTAGGACAACTTTGATGAACTTTTCTGATCCACTTCAAATGTTGACTACTGTATATACAGTACATATATAAAAAGTTTGAATTTCATTTTTTAATTGTAGCTTCTTTATTAGAAAGGTAAGACGTGAGAGAAAATTATTGAGGAGAAAATGGAACACTGGAAATCAGGAAATTACAAGTTACAGCAAGTTAGAAAGCTGTTAGCATGAGGACTTACAGTGTCAATCTAAATAAGTTAATCTAAAATCAATTACTGACAACAAATATACATATACATTTATATTAATAAAATTATCTTTAAAATGATCTTAAAGTTTGACAAATTTTCACTGTTTTGCACACTGCCAACTAAAACGTTATTTAAATGGCATTTAAGTAAAATGGACTAAAATGAATGAATGTGACATGCTAAAATACTCACTACACTTTATAAAAAGACAAAAATTGTAAAAACACTCTGTATGGTGGCTCCAACATGTCTAGAGTACAACTCTGACACTTTGGTCTTAATAATAACAGGAAATAAAACAGGAGCAGAACAGTCCCCACTGTATACGATATCTGATGCCTCTACAAATGCTTCAAGCATCGTCATAAGTTGTACATTTATTTGATTTAAACACACATAGATAGCCTTTACCTGTCCACTTCATCCCTTGCAACAATGTCACCTTTCTTCAAAGCTTTAATGGCAAACATTTCTCCAGTGGTCTTGTACTCAGTAAGTAAAACCTGTTGAATAATTAAAGAGATGAAACTGTCTGCAGGAATCACATCACAAGGTGGCAGCATGTAGAGATAATCCTCAATATTACTACACAAACGGTTAATTTACTGTACATTTATGGCGCAATTGCAAATTTTACAGAGCTTGCCTTATTGCATATGTGAAAGCAAGTTTCAGTTTACCTTTCCAAAGTGGCCACGCCCCAGAACAGCGACACATTTGAAGTCTGTCAAACTGAATTGAACTTCCTCTTCTTCCCTAAAGGCATGACCGCACACTTTTGAGCATTTGAATACCATTAATGTATGCATGTTTATATGTAGCCGTGATGTCAGTTATCCAAAAATGGGGAACAAACTACCTTATTTCAGTTTTTCGTTGAACTTCGGTCAGTTCCAGGTCAGGCTGCTCATTTTCAACCAGACTGTCATAATCTGGTTTAGCTACTGTGTTGTTCAGGAATTCAAAGGTCGCTAGGGCATCCTGTAGGCCAGAGGCATTTAAGAGTCAGTACTGCAAGAGAACTCCCCTTATTAATAATACTTGCCTTAAAGGGACAGTTCAGACAAAAATAAAAATGCTGTCATCATATTGTTCCAAACCCATAAGAATGATTGTTGCCCATCAAACACAGAAAGACATGTAGGGCAGGATGCTCAAGCTGTTCTTTAATATACAATCTAAGTGAATGGTGACCAGAGGTAGTCAAGGACCAAAATATGACACCATTAAAGTACCATCTACTTGTGTACCCTCTTACACTAGAGTTCCCAGCACTTACATATTATTGCCCTTTTGTTGGTTTTGATTGCTTCTATTGTCCTCATTTGTAAGTCGCTTTGGATAAAAGTGCCTGCTAAATGACTAAACGTAATATAACATAAATGTAATGTGATTATATTATTGAATATGCCAGTGGTTCTCAACCTTTCTTTATTTACAGGTACTAGGAGTGTCCATAGATTTAAATAAGTAACTAAAACAATTATAAATAAAATGTCAGGATTCCAGAGGTTTTAAGGTTCTTCTAAAGAACCTTAAACCAATAGGTTTTTTTAACCAATTAATTTACACGACTCTTTCCTGTCATTAGTGATACTGGATAATGAAAATGATTTTTAAAGATCTTTTCTCACCATTTCTTCCCAATAAAATATTTTAGGGCTTAGCATAACTATTAAAAGTGCATATCTGTGTTTTAGGATTTGAATCATTTCTGTGACTGTGGCAAAGAAAGCACACATTACAGATGAGATCTCTAGAAATATCCAAAAGTTGTTTAGTTGCTTTTTTAAAGCTTGTTTTGTCTTATTTTAAATTGTTTGAACTCATCTTGAGGCCCCCTTGGAAGTTTGCCAAGGCCCCTAGTGGTTCTCAGTACTCTGGTTGAGAACCACTGGAATATACGCATAATATTCAAATTGAGCAGCTCACATTCACACATTATCTGTTAAAATACAGAACCAACAACATTTGAAATAATTGACATCAAACTTCATATGAAACAACTTGGCATGCCATCTTTAAATAAATGTGAAGGTTGATGAGATTTCTCAAATCTCTTACACCTTCATGTGTATTTAAATAATCTGCTGCCAAGATTATCAGTGAATAATGACTTAAATTTCTTTTCCTCACCCAAAGCTTTCCACCCCACTTCCATTTTCATCCCATCCCCTTTCATTGTATAGAAAAGAATGGTATCAACATTTAGCTAAACTTTTCCTTTTGCGTTCCACAGAAAAAAAAAAGTCAGATGGGTCTGGATCAACATGAGTGAACCATAATATCTTTCAGTTCTGGGTGAACTATTCCTTTAATGCAAACACCCCATTACCTGCACCTCTTTTCCATCTGCGATCTTATCTGGTGAAACATTTTCCTCTATCTCGATGGAGTGCCGTTTTGAGGAAGGGGTGGCTGGTTTGTCAAAGTCTAATTTGGTCACAGTGGGGTCGCTGAAGGAGAGAAGATAAATCATAAAATATCTGGGGTCTGGAAATTTACAAAATAGCTACATTATGGAATGCATACACTGGGATATGGAGCAGGAATGTTAAGTCATCTCATTATCTAAATATAGAGCACCAATTATGTTTCCAGACAGATTAGTCATTGTTTATCAAAGACTGTGGAATAATTTGAGGGCTTTCCGCTTTTTTTAGGAGATGAGTCTTTGTGGTTGAGCTGGAATGAATTGGTACACATATGTACCTGGGTAGGGAGTGGGCGTCTGGGTGGCCGATGGGTACTGTTTCAGAGCTCAATGCTGAGCCCAGATCAGCCTGAGGACTGAATGAGGTATTGATTGACGGAATGGCTCTTCTCACCAATCTGCCCCAGGTGGCGATGTTAATGTTCATCTGAGGGGCACGCAGGAACGTTTTACCTGAGAGGAACAAGGTTTATGTATGAGATGAAGAAAGCAGAAGCAAACTTCTGAACAGCAGATAATATTAGTTCCTAGTGTGCCATTTATGTAGGCACTCTATTAATGCACTGTAGACACAGTTGTTCCAAAAGGTCTAAGATACCTTATTTTAGCAAAATTATGAGACAAGATAGCATTTATCCTTCATGGACAATGCGATCCCAGAATGCTCTGTGACAAGCTCAATGAGAAAGCAAAACCAGGATGGCTGAATATTTGTGAAAGACTGTTCACACCAGGATGAATATTCTGTTGGATAGAACAGTGTGATAAACATATTGCTACTTTTCTATGTGCCACCGACTGTCAGAAACTTAATTAACATGTTCATTCAGCCCGTTTGTAGCTTTTTTCCCCGCATTGCTCTGAACAGACAAATCACATGCAAAAACCAGACCAAATTTACGTGCCAAAACATGTGTTGACGTGACAGGCCTTGAGATAGCCTTATAACATTATTGTGCTGTTAGCTTAGCAAAATGCTAACAGAAAACTTTTGACTTGAGTCTCCCATGCAGAGCACTATTTGTGAGACTGGCACAATTTTGAAACAGAGCTTAAGCCTCTCAACCAGCTATTCACCTTCTATGTTATTAATGGTTCAAAAAAGTTCAAACGAAGGTCAAAGTTCATTCTGACTTCACTGTGTAAACACTGGCCCCACAGCAGTGCAATATTGAACCACAGAACTGTCAAGAGTAGGCTGCTTTATCTAATCTGTTTGAGTGAACTTGTTAAGCCTTCTCAACACTGAAGCATATTTGCCACTTCATAACCTTACCTTGCTGTTTGGAGAAGATTTTCTTTTGCCTTTGTAGTTTAGGTCGCCTCTCAATAACTGGGTTAAAAAACGTAACCTGTATTCAAAGAGGTAGAGATAATCTCAATAAAAATATCCTCTACAGGGCCATCAAACTGGTATATTGCATGTCTGTGTGTGATGACAAAATGAAAGTACCTCAGCAAACAGTGTTCCTTGCGGTTCCAGGTAAAGGCACATGCCATGACGCTGGTTGTCCAGGAAGTCCTCCAGCCGTAAAAACTTAACAGCACACAGCGAGCGCCAGTCTCTCCAGTACACAGCTATCTCCAGCTCACGAGACTACAGGTCAACCAAAAAAGCATTTCGTATCTGATATTAAGTATATATACTAGGGGTGTGCGATATATATCGTCTGCGATAATATCGTAATTGTTGTTTTAACGATGTGCGATTTGACATTATCGAGTATTTTGCAAAAACCATTCAAAACATCCCTACAGAGCGCACGCATACATTACGTGAAGTCTAGACTAGTGTGTGAGCGCATTTAGTGTGTTTTCTTTCACTGCATGATTCAGTCTATTGAAATACATTTAGAATGATCACAAATTCAAGATATGATGGCAGAAAATTTATATATTTATACCACTTCATATAGTTATTCAATTTCACACGAAGAGTGCCGTTTTTCTCCAAAAATTACCATGATTACAAATGTGACATTGAATTCAATAAACAAAAGTTAATTAAGAAACTTACGTTTTAGACACCATATTGCTTGTTTTTGCTCTATTTCGCCAACAAAAATCATTCCGAATACAGCCACAGCGCCGTTTATCGAGATATAATTTTTTGTCAATATCGCACACCCCTAATATATACACACCTTGAAGTGTATAAATACAGCCTTGGTGAGCACAATTATCTTCTTTTAAAAACATTTTAAAAATTCTGTATAGTTTCATTACATTGTTGTATTGAGTGGTTGTCAGGGCTTTGCTATATGGTTGCAAGAAAGCTATGGGTAGTTGCTTGCAAAAACTATACTTCCGATCGCCAAATAATACATAATGAGGACTAGAAGTGCCAGTTAAAAAAATAAAAATAAAAATAATAATCAATATATTAGTTTAAAAAAAATGAATGAATGAATAAATAGAAAATACATTTTTCAAATTGACAAAAGACTTTTAAAAATGTGTTCAACTCAATTAAAACTTAAAATTATAGATAAATGGATCAAAATATAACATTTTAAAATGCCAGTTTATAATTGTATTCAAGAATGCATTGGTCAAGTGCTTTTCTTTCTTAATTTATTGAACAAGTTAAAAATGCCGAACAGTTACCACTTATGAGTATTACTATCATTTTAAAATGCCAGTTTATAATTGTATTCAAGAATGCATTGGTCAAGTGCTTTTCTTAATTTATTGAACAAGTTAAAAATGCCGAACAGTTACCACTTATGAGTATTACTAGTTCACAGCCAATGGTTTGACATGTACAGGCCTTTTACAGGTCTATTCAGAGTCTGTCTGCCATTGCACAACTGCTGATTAGAACTCTCACGTTGCCTTCCATGAGATTAAACGCTTATGCCGTCACATAGCAAAAAGCAAGCCCAAACCCACAGACGTGTGTGTAAATTCATCCAATAATCAACCCTCAAAAATAAATAGAATACAAAGCAAACACAACATCCGCCCATTTCTTAATGTGGAGGAATGGAGATACATTATAAAGGACAAGCTGAAAAAACAGGGAAACAATACTGATTGTGAACTATGAACAATGTCATAAACATAAAAGCAAACTGAGGTTTGCTTGTGTTGAGAGTGACTCAATAACAAACATATAGGGAAAGGGAGAGATTTATGTATGTGAGAGTGAAGAGATTATGAACGATGACTTCTGATCTGCCTTGTCTGAGTTTCCATAAGAACTGGGTCAAATCTGGGATTAACATTTCCAAAGGTAATTGAGAGCGGCTGGAATGGAGAGCATGTGTGTATATGTGTGCTCATCTACTCATGTGTCGAGAGGATTATGGGATATGACTGTGGTTTGACAAGTGTGTTTTATGCAATTTCTCATGCATTACCCTGTCAAGTTCCAGCGTGAACTTCTGGTCCCAAGATTGGTTGCTAACTGGCTTCCAATGGGTCTGTCCCACAACTGTGTTGTCCAGCTTCAGAACGGCACTGATTTCATCTGTCATAACAGTACAAAACAACTCTTAAGCTATTACTTTAGAACAGAAACATGAATTAGGGATTTGTATTTAATACATTGATTTAATGCAATTTATTATTTAAAAAGCTGTGATGAAAATAAAAATACACCCAAAGACATTAGTCAGCATATGATCAAAATAATAATAAAAAAACAGACTATAAAAAAAACAAACAAAAACAAATACATAAACTATAAAAAATAAATAAAAATAGATTCTTTGATTCCATGTTTTTGAAAAGACAGTGAGATTATCTAAGCAAATGTTGATATATGCTATTAAGTGTGATAATTCAGTTATTAATCATGTAATGAATCGGTAGCAATTGAATTAAATGTAAAACAGTAATAAATTAAATTAAATGTTTTTAATTGACTGACAGTCCTACTACCCAAATCCATCTAAAAGTTTGGGGTTGGCAAGATTTTTTTTTAATGTAGCATAAAGTCTCTTATGCTCATCAAGACAGCATTTGTTTGATCAAAAATACAGTAAAACAGTAACATTGTGAAATTTACAATTACAAATTTAAAAGTAACTGTTCTCTGTTTTAAAAATGTAATGTATTCATGTGATGCCAAAACTGAATTTTCAGCATCATTACTCCAGTCTTCAGTCTCACATGATCCTTCAGAAATCATTCTAATATGCTGATTTGGTACTCAAGAAACATTTCTTTTTATATCATCACAGTTGAAAAAAAGCTGTGCTGCTTAATATTTTTGTGGAAGCTGTAATACATTTTTTAGGATTCTTAGAAAAATATAAAGCTCAAAATAACAGCATTCCTTTTAAAAAAAAAGATCTTTTATAACATCAATGTCTTTACAGCCACTTCAATCAATTTAAAGTGTCCTTGTTGAATAAAAAGTAGTTATTTCTTTAAAACAAAAAAACATCATACTGACAAACTTTTGAATGGTAATGTATTCACTTGCACTCCAAGTCAGAACAAGTGTTGTTTTCCATATAAAATAACACTGTATAGAATAAAAGTATAATCACGGCAGAGACGATGAGTGAAGATGGAAAAAGATGGCAAATTGCAGCATTTCACTTTGTAAACACAGTCTAGCGTTTTTGAATTTAGTTAAAAATTTTGGCAACTCTTATTTGTTCTGCTTCACAATGAATTTTTATATCATCACAGTTGAAAAAAAGCTGTGCTGCTTAATATTTTTGTGGAAGCTGTAATACATTTTTTAGGATTCTTAGAAAAATATAAAGCTCAAAATAACAGCATTCCTTAAAAAAAAAAAGATCTTTTATAACATCAATGTCTTTACAGCCACTTCAATCAATTTAAAGTGTCCTTGTTGAATAAAAAGTAGTTATTTCTTTAAAACAAAAAAACATCATACTGACAAACTTTTGAATGGTAATGTATTCACTTGCACTCCAAGTCAGAACAAGTGTTGTTTTCCATATAAAATAACACTGTATAGAATAAAAGTATAATCACGGCAGAGACGATGAGTGAAGATGGAAAAAGATGGCAAATTGCAGCATTTCACTTTGTAAACACAGTCTAGCGTTTTTGAATTTAGTTAAAAATTTTGGCAACTCTTATTTGTTCTGCTTCACAATGAAACGGTGAAGTACAATGGCCATTCAAGATTGTAAGGAATGATATTAACTTGGATTTTCAACACGCATTTAAAAAAATTTTAAATTAAAGCCACTCAACTGGACAGATCATCGGACTTGGAGAGGGTTCGGCTGCTGCCAGATTTGTTCTTGTTTCCTCGGCTCATAAATGAGGAGCGTGCCTCACTGGGGCTCCAGCCAGGCAGAGAAACAGATGCTGTCTTAGAGCGACCTGGGACGTTCTCCAGGAGGTCCTGACAGCCCATGAGCCTCACGTCTAATGTGCCTGTACATTATACAACAGAAACCCATCTCAGAGCCAAAGTTCTGTGTGATCTGAGATGTAAATCACCAAACACATCTATTCTGATTAACACAAGATAATAAGTGTGCAAGCAATTGTAAATGTATATTTCATGACACATGAAGTGGTTATAGAGCATATATGGAAAGCACTACGAGTCTATAATGGTAACGTAAGCGCTCTCATTCTCCTTCAGAGTGAAGGTCAAAGTTGTGTGTGATAAAGCCAAGGGAGGGGGAAGGGACCACTGAGGCCAAGTGCGTTGACAGTGTGAAAATTTGAATGTAGTTCTTACATGCCTAAACTGGACAGCTGTTGCCCCTCTCAAACAGGGCTGAATGCACAGTACCATGTGTTGTGAAAAAGGACTAGAGAGCCTATTCACACTGGGAGTGAATATTGGCAGTGAACAAGACTATAAATTGAATCAATGAATTCCCATGGATCTATTCATGGAGATGAATTTTCCCCCATGTATAGGTTGATTTTTATTTTTACTTTTTCCAACGCCATCTACCAATAAAATTTAAATTTGTGTGAAACTGGCAGAATTTTCCCCCCATGTATAGGTTGATTTTTATTTTTACTTTTTCCAACGCCATCTACCAATAAAATTTAAGCATATGGATTTTGTCCTATATACTCCAGTACAATTGGGGGTGCTATTTTATCACCTAGCACTGAACAATAAAAGAAGACTCTTTCTTATAGTGGAATATTTGCTTTCTCTTTTTTTTTTTTTTCAAGTTGGTTTACTAACCTTTAAATGAATAGTTCCCCCAAAAATGAAAGTTCTGTCATCATTTACTCACCCTCGTGTTATCTGAAACCCATAACTTTTGTTCAAAACACAAATGAAGATATTATTAAAACCTGAAAGACTGAAATACTCCCAAAACTTTGATGCTTCAAAAGTTCATAAAGAGATCATAAAAGTTATTCATGTGAATCGCAGTGTAGTCTTTATATGATTAATATAATTTATATATATATGAAACAGATTTAATTTAGGCTTTGATTCACATATAAACATTGATCAATGCACATACATTGAGTACATCAAACATGATCAATGGCAGTTCAAACATACTTGCTTAACGTGCGACAACAAACACCATTGGTTCTTGTGCAACAAGCGAGCACCTTTGAGCTTCCATTGACCATATCTGATGTGCATTGATCAATATTTTATTTGAATAAAAGCTATGAATCCTCAATTCATAAGGATTACTTTTACAAGCTCTTTATGAACTTTTTGAAGCATCACAGTTTTGGTGGAATGGACTTTCAATGGAGGCACAGAAATCTCTTAATTTGGGTTTTGAAGATGAACCTCTATGTTTTATGAATGGCAGACGATCCAAAAAAAATGCATTGCGCCACTCCAGGTGAAGTAAATTTGGTTTTCAGACAAATATTTGGTGAAAAATGGTTTTGTTTTGTGATTCACTTCATTTCTGCACTTTGCTCCCAGTACAAATAGGTTTGAACTCTGTTACAAGCTGTCATTTCTAAAACCAATCTAAAATGGGAACAGTAAATACTGTGTGACTGTACGGATTTAGTTTTGTTACCGGTCAGAGCAGCAGGTTTGGCCACAGTGCTGTACTTGTTGCTGGTGGACATGATGCTATGGCGGGGACTGAGAGGTGGGGAAGACACCATTGCTAACTCCTCCATAATCAGGTTGCTCTTCGGGTGATTTTTGGGCAGCTCACTGAGTCTCTGCTCCAGAGAGAACTTCAGAAGGTCTAGCTTCTGACTGGACTCATTCAAGCGGGCTTGAGCCTGCAAGAAAGTTAGACAGTGCTTACAACTGCATACAGACATAAATACTCACATTTTGAATGTGACAGTGCTGCCTCCGAGAACAAGGATTCAAATTTCTCTGTGACAAATGGTCTTATACCAGAAACTGCTGTAGATGATGTTTTTTATTACTATTATTATAAAATAATAATTGTAATACACTGTAAAAAATGACCGTGAATTTGACGGTAAAAGACTGTAAAAATGCTTATGGTAAAATTCTGGCAACCACAGCTGCCGGTTTTTTACTGTAAATTTTACGGATTTTTTTTTACAGTGTACTTTAAAATAATAATTATGGTAAAATACTGTGAAATAATAATTTCACAGTATTTTACCGTAATTATTATTTTAAAGTACACTGTAAAAAAAAATCCGTAAAATTTACGGTTATTTTTTTAATAAATACTTTATTTTTTTGTTTTATTTTACAGTACAATAGTACTATTTCAATATATTTATTTTATAATTTTTTTTAAAGAAGCACAACAAAAATCTGAAATACTATTATAAGTTTTTCCAAACCATTCAATCCTAAAAGGATTGTTCCCATGAAAATGTCTTCAGAGTGAAGTCAGTTTTTCAGCTTTCATAAAATTATTTTTATTTTCTATTCAGATCAGATGTTCATCCCATTCATTCCAAATTAATTAATTCTTTCAAAATAGAGCTATTCAAATCATGTGGAGAAAATTCTTGTCTTTTTCTATTCGCAATATCACAGAAAAGCAACACTTTGCAATATCAGTTTTCTCCGATATCGTGCAGCCCTAAAATGAACCTCTACCAGGTGAGCAAACAGGAACATCTTCAAATACATGATTCAGAGGCACACACATTTCTTTCAGTGGCCAGTATTCTGATTGACTGCTATCATGCGAAACTAGCTTGAATGCTTTTCGCTGCATATGGAGTCTATCGTTGTCAAAGAAAGCTGCTTCCTGTCAGGTAGCAGGTGTGACATTTTTATGTGTTGTATTACAAAACAAATCACTTAAAACACATTTTAAAATGAAAATTAATTCCAACAGACAGGAAACTGACAACAGAAATAAAACAAGTTTTACAGACCATTTAACCATCCTGAGTCATACCACAATTATGGTGTAAAGTGAGAAAAGCTGTAAACATTTGGCCCCAGAGGCAATTAAAAGTGCATCATTAAATGAATAACTGGATTAAATAGATGCAGACATGAAAGTGTTTATATGAAGCACAGGAAAATGATAAGGAGCGACTATAAAAATCATTACAATTTAGAAATGGAGCCGACCTCTGAATGAGCTTTCTTCTCCGTCACTTTCCCTGTTCCCAGCAGTTTCATCACATTCTTGGCACCTTCTGCCACAGCAGACTCGATCCGGAAGTGATGTCGGAGCTCTTCTATCCTCAGGTCCAGAGGACTGATTATAGGCTTGCTTGAAGTCACTGCAAACATCAGATTTATGTTTTATAACCACACTCCTGCCCATTTAAATCGCAAATCACAGATATAATTACAGAGGAAATCAGCTAGACCACATACCGTCATTGTTCTCATAGTTCATCTCGCTGGTCTGGCTGGCTTTGAGAATCTGCATTCGAATGAACTCTATCTTTGTCTTGCTGTCTTGAAGCATCTGTTGAGCTGCAGCGAGCAGTTTGCGGTCCTACAGATGAAGACACAGGAGGAAAATAAAAACAGAAGAGGAGTTCAGAAACGAACAGAGGAATAAAATATGCACAAACGGCACTTTATAATGACAAGTATTTCTTAATGCAGATCCACAGTTCATAAAATAAAAGATACAAATATAAACAGAAAAGGAGATATACACCTTCAAATAAATGTTGTTCTTTTGAATTTCTATTCATAAAACAATCCTAAAAAAAAATTCTTCTTAATATTTTTGTGGAAAGAGTGATACAACTGCACAACACTGGTAATAATAAGAAATTATTATTGAGTACCAATATTAAAATGATTTCTGAAGGATCCTGTGACACTGAAGACTGAAGTAATGGGTGTTTAGCTCTGCCATCCCAGGAATAACTTATTCAAAATACAAGTTGTTTTAATTAGTAATAATATTTCACAATATTACTATATTTTTAATCAAATAAATGCAGCCTTTGTGAGCATTAGAGATTTTAAAAAGATTAAAATAATCGTATAGACTCCAAACTTTGGAACAGTAGTGCACAAATCAAGATTTCATTTCATTTCTATTTAAATGTACATAAAGTAATGATTGCTTTATATATTTCAATATTTCACAACCGATTACTATGCAGCACTCATGGTCTTATTGTTTGCATGTCAGGGACTACATCCTCAAGCAAGCAGAAGGAAAACAATGGTATACAGCCCTAAATATTTTAACATTAAATCACATTATTTTGTATTTAACACATTAAGTTCCCTTTTGAGGCAGCCTAAAAATTCCTTTAAACATATCCTTAAACACTTGTCACTTTTGACAACCCTAAAAATTGATTTCATAAAAATGTGTTCTGATTTTTTTTAAATGCATTACTGTTTATAAAAAATGGTCCTTGAGGCCTAACTGTATTGTGAACATAGTCACACTTGAAGGAGCTGCCTGGCATACCAAACACTCTTTAGTTGTAACTACATTCACAATATACTATAGCATGGCCTCTCATACCTTAATCTTAATTCATATTCTTAATATTTCTCACATTTTTTTTAAAGTGAAACCCACAAATTAAAAACAAAGCCATACATAATGTGTTTGAAGTGTAAAGAGATATTTCCTTGTCACACCAAGTATTCAAGTCTAGTGACTGTGAGTCAGGAACCTCTATGGACTAAACTTCCTGTAAGCAGCCATTAGAGGCTGACTTTACCTTAGAGGCCTTTCCTCCGGATATCTAAAGCAGCTGGGAACCTGCATACAGGACTCACCACTTCAAAAAAAAAAAAAAAATCCAGTTGTTTTGTGTGTTGTTTTTTTTCCACAGTCCAACCAATGGTGCGAGTTTGGGAAGGGACTACCTGTTTGGCCTAGCATTGGAAGACACAGAGTTAGCAATTCCGTTTGGTGCCACAAGTGGCGCAAAAAAGGCACCTTTGAAATTCTTGAACGGAGCAGTCGTGGGCTTAATCAGTGCGAGTCAAATGAAGTCATGTGCCGTAGTGCTGAGTATGTTTTTCTGCTAAATCACCAAAAAGACTGCTGATTTAACAGAACTCAGAACATCTTAGATGCTAATTTTAGCCACAGAGCCTCTTTAATTAACAGCGTCGTTCTTGATAAAAGGGAGAAAAGGAGGGTCAGACACTCTAGACCGAAGCCAAGCCATACCATGAGAACGATTCTGCTGATACATTTATGTTTTGAAACACACTACATGTATAGTAACTAGCACCAAAGCCCGATTTCCTGAGGGGGAGGGTGGAGAAACATAACTGAACTGTTCTATTCCAGTTCTCCTTAATGTCAGCTGCACCCTAGGGGGTTACAACCATGACATTGGCATATGTGTATAAATGAGTCTAGTCTGGCTTCCTTTACCTCTTTTGGAAATAGGAGAGGAGATTTCACTCAATTTTAGGACATGTTTGCTAACATCGGTTTTAATTTCTTGGGATGAATCTTCTCTCTCAAGATCTTTAAGAGATCAAACGGCTTATCCTCTCTGGGAGCAAAAGCAAAGCACAGTATTTAGTGTAATATAAAGACGACGTGTATTTTTGAAATACTTTTCATATTCCAGCTTAATATGTAGAGGTTACAAGTTTTTCACTTTAAGGTTGATTTAACTGAAAAATGTAAACACAGTGGCGCCATCAGAACATTCTAAACAGCCCAACACTGCATTTGCTCAAGTGGTATGAGTCTGGGGCAGGACTACTTAATGGCAAAATGTGGGAATGTTTTTTGGAAATGGACCTTATTATTCTTGCAATTTTGCTTTGTAACAACACACAAAAAAAAGAGATTCCATGTCCATGTAAATAACTGTTTGTACCACAAGCAAATGCATTAGTCTACACAAACCACATACCACAGATCCTTTAAAGGCAGACTACTACCTTGGAAGAGCCGTTGGAATACATCTGAATCATATTTTCCGCTCCTTGTTTCACTTTGAGCTCGATGTCGGCCTGTTTCTTCAGAGCGGCCAGTCTGCTACTGTTGGTGGATGTCCGAGCTTCACTCTTGGGGGTGTCTGGGGTTAGCGGGTACTCTGACATTGAACAAATACAAATCGACATCAAAGAGTTAACAAAACACTAAAACAACAATACAGCATGTTGGGAATGTTGGAGAAATGACACTAAACATATGAGCAGGAAACACACAAGATTAGTGAACCCACACTTGATCCTTTAGTGCAGGTAGAAAATGCTAAATGCAGGACAGCTAGCATTAGCACGCTGTCATTTTTATGAAAGTAAACCACAAACAACTACACTGAAAAATAAAATGTGGCTGATGTGGCAGATGATGCTGAAAGCTTTGTTTTTGTTTGAAAACCTTTAGATAAAGGTCTTACAAAGCCAGGCTTTTAACTAAACGGCAAAAGGTCCAGTCCAGTCCACATTATAGGTAATTCTAGCCACCTACTTACAAGAAGACATAAATGATTTAAGGATTAGCTCACATCCAGAATTTTTTTAAAAAATCAGATAATTTACTCACCCCTATGTCATACAAGATGTTCATGTCTTTCTGTCTTCAGTCGCAAAAAAATTAAGTTTTTTGAGGAAAACATTCCAGGATTTTTCTCCATATAATGGATGGTGGCCAATGGGTTGAAGGTCTAAATTGCAGTTTCAATGCAGCTTCAAAGGGCTCTACACAATCCCAGCCGAGGAATAAGGGTCTTATCAAGCAAAACGATCTGTTATTTTCAAAAAAAGAACAAGAAAAATGTATATACTTTAACCACAAATGCACGTCTTGCACTAGCTCTGCGTTGCGCGTCCGCAAATTCAAGCATTACGTAAACACGTTGGAAAGGCCATGCACAGTTAGCTCTTCATCTGTGTACTCCGGTTCAAAAAGGTAGGGTAGGGCGAAAAACTCAATCTCATTTTCTCCTCCAACTTCAAAATCGTCCAACATCGTTGTTTTACCTTTTTTGTAAAGGGCATTTGACTTTCTTTGCATGTTCGCTTTGTAAACACTGGGTCGGTACTTCTGCCTATGTCATGCTTGACCTTTCCAACGTGACTACATAATGCGTGAGGTGGGTGAAATGTGACATGCAATACTAAATCTACGGTTTAAAATATGTTACTAATTAGCTATTAGACATGCGGCTTATATTACCCGATATCAATGGACTATATGTACCGTTTTTAATAATATAGACAGTTTAATGATGGATTTGTCACACCACACAGGACTATTTAAAATGTATTAAAAACATGAAACAATAACTAAAATACACTTAAAATTCATTGTTCCTTATCTTGATCTTGTTAATTAAAAAAAGGTCAATTGATAGGTTAAGTTCTACCCTCAACTACCCTCACACGAAATATGCAAATGTATAGCTCTTTGTTATTATAAACTATTTAAATGACTGCCAGTCATTACTGTATCAAGACTAGCTAGATAATACTGCTGTAGTTTGACTATTAAGCAGGCCTGTACATAAAACCATGCTTAAATGCACAAATCTAATAATTTGACAGATGAAAAAATATGTAATTTGACCTTGTTAGAAATAGACAAAACAAGAATGCAATTAATTCCTCTAAGGAGAAGACAACTCCCTGCATGAATCACATGTTGGGAATTCCCATGTATTCCTTCTTTGTACTTGATTGCAAAGTGATTATTTCAGATTTCTTAGTAACACACACACATAGAGAGTATCAGAATTCAGAATATTCCTATATAAATGTTTGTTCACTTTGCTATTGTCTTATGGAAATAATGGAGATGTTCACTTGCACCATCAACATATATTTCACATATTCCATTTCACTTATTCTGCACAATAATTTAAGAAAACATTCTTATTCATGTCCTGTTAAAATATAAGCATGCAAAACCAACTGAGTGCATCACAAAAAAGTGTCACGGACAAGTTTATAGTGCCTTCCTTTACAGTTTTATACACTGAATTAATACATTTAAATGTTCCTTATCTTGACACAGGTTAGAAGACTATATTTCAGATTTGAAAAGAAAAAAATAGATTGTACATGTATTTTTGCTGTTTACATTCTTGCAACAACATTCAATCTGTATCTGATATTAATACTGCATTTATAGTAGTATCTTGCCACAATGCACATTTGAAGAATTGAATGCATACTGAACTACTGTACACTGACAAATGAAGAACTTCTGGTAGAGAACAGCACTAACAAATATGAAGGTCATGGGTTCAATTCTCAAGAAAATGCATAAAGTAAACGGACATGAAGTATTCACTTTGGAATGAAGTAGTGGTACTTATGACTTTAGTATTACAACTTCAAAACAAAAATCAAGAAATGTAAATGGGAATTCTTCAGCTAATCATACTGAGATTTAGGGTATTCATATAACTTTATCTAGAAGAATAACTCCTATTTGTAAACACTTAAAACTTCCTGGAGTTTGGTGAGCGAATCACTGAATCAAGGAAAGCGGAAACCAACTGCCTGCAAGTTTGCAACATACAATTTGACTAGTTCCTACATATCTGAAAAGCTGAAAATGGATAGCAGCAATATATACACAAATAAATAACATAACATTATGGCTTTTATAAACACACACAGTACAGTGATTCAATGAAGCATTTGTGAAACTAACCAGTAGGGGTGGGAATCGCAGGCTACCTCACGATACGATCTGAATCACGATACATGGCTCACGATATGATAATATCGAGATACAGCGATTCTGCGATAATCGATATATTGCTAGACAATTCTATAATGATACATCACGATATCTGTCTAACTATGAAAACAAAATGCCTGTGAAAAGGTTAAGTGCAAGTTTTCTCTCTTTATTCAAGCCCAAACTGTTAGAAAGCAGCACAAAAGTTCTGTAAATCAAATTTAACAT